AATAGCCGCGTTCAGACGCGTTATTTCCGCTCAGTTGACCACCTGTTAATTCTACTGCTGTCGGAAAGACAGGGTCGTCAGCCCATCCACCTTTGCCTGCGTGGCGCAACGGTCTTCGCGACAACTGCCACGACATTATTTTACCACGACCTCGCCTAATTCCTGCTTCGATATTCCGACAGCGGCTTCGGATCAGCCCCCGAATCAACGCCCTGACCGACGACCTATCCTACCCGTTCAACCCCGACTCCTTGACACTTTATTGTGGTTTATTTGGTGTCGTTCCGACTACCTGTGTCGCGTCCATTCTCGAGCCTTTCAGCCAAGATCAGGTAAAACTTCATTACTTCCAATCTACCCTCCTTATTTAATTACCTTACGAGTGGATAGCTAATTATAACATGATACGTAGTATGGCCCTGCTGAAACAAAAACATCTGCCGCAGCGAATTTCTTTGCTCCAAGGACCCGGCGTAAATTGCCAACGCAGAATTATGCCCGCATCGAACGTCCTCAATTCAACCTCGGAATCCGCGCGCGCGCGCTGATTCTAGCGCAACCCGGCTCCTTCCTCTCCTCTTCCAACTGGCGAAGATACAATTGTCTGCGCGCCCCCGGGTCATCCTGACTGTGAGTCAGATGATGACATGCCCGACGCGGATACACCAGAGCCGCCATTGAACAGTAGTCATATGACGCTCGCAGAGAAAGCCGGACTTATCAAGAAGTGGGCCGACAACAAACAAAAGCATGTTCGCAAGAAGAGAGACAAGAACAGCCACGTCTATTGGTATATGCAGAGGGAAGCTATAGACAGAAGCTTTTACTCAGAGGATAAGGATGGGCCGAAGATCTTCCAAGAGTTCCGGTGGACTTGTATAGAGTGCCTTCAAAATCCCAATACTCTTCGGAAGAGATTCCAGGTCCTCGAATCGAACCGCCGAGGGGTTACCTCTGGCATGGGAGACCATTTAAAAATCCACGGTATTACGAAGGAATCTCACCACGCTCGAATTAATGGATACGGCCGCGCCATTGGTGGAGGAGATTATACAGAGGCAGACGCATGGAGCGGTCGACCTAGGCAGAGAGCAAGACTCACGGCAAAGGAGTCTATCCGCCGGTGGTTTGTAAAACACCGACAACCCTTCTCTGTTGTCGAGACTCCTGCTTTTCAAGAGATGTTCTTGGCTCACAACACAACATGTGTGTACAGGAGTCGTATAACGTTACGCAATCATATATATACAGACTTTGTCGAACGCAGGGAGAAGCTGAAGATTGAGCTTGAGTACAATTGTGCCACCATCTCGTTCACCCTTGATATCTGGACAGCACCGAATCGGGTGCCCATTTTCGCCATTATTGCGCACTGGATTACACCGGAGTTTGAGGAGAGAGGAAGTTATTGAGTTTATTGAGCTCAAAAGATCTCACACTGGCAAACAATTAGCTGAGATAGTTGAGAGGACGCTTGAGGAGCTCAGGCTCAAGCCTAAGCTTCTCGCCATTACGGGAGACAACGCCGGCAATAACGGCACGCTCTGTCAGTCTTTGTACGATTCTCTCAAGACCAAATTCGACGACAAGGTGAGCCCAATAGGAGGCCCGCATGCGCTTTCACGGCAGGAAGAGTTGGATCCGCTGTCTAGCTCATATTACCTCGCTCATTTGTGAGGGCGTCTTGCAAGATCTCAAAGCAGGCACAGCGAAGGAAGCCAAGAAGATGCTTGACAAGTGGGACGAAGAGAATAAAAGCAACAACTACACCATTCCGGGAGACTCTAGTCGAAGTGGATTGCCAAAATCCGCCTCCTCAATCTCTGGATGTTGAGATCCGGGTCTAGGGAGCAAGACTTCAAAAGCATGCCGCGCACGCACTACCGGAAGCCAACCTACGATGTCGACACTCGCTGGAATTCGGCCTACGACATGATTGACCAATTCCTCGAGCTTGAGGCAGAGTATACTGAGTTCGTTGATACTCACCCGCAAGTCAAGTGCCTCCTGCCCTTATCAGAAGAGATTGTCGCTCTCATCAACTGCGGAAGGTTCTGAAGCCGTTTAAAGACCACACTCTGAAAGTCTCCGAAGTTATGCCGCCGATCTCACAAAGTCTCGATATCTATTGGGATTTGGAAGCTCTCCTGATGATGTAGTCGAAGGAGTTGGCGACTTTACAGACCTTGATATGTCCATTCGAGACGCCTTCTCGAAGGGCAAAGCAAAACACGTTACTTATATGAAGAAGCTTGACGATCAAATGATGCTATTCGCAGCTCACATCCTGGATCCGCGTTATAAAACTCACCAATTGGAAATGATGATACCGGATCAATACTCTGAGATTATGGCTAAAGTCAAGAAGTATTTCAAAACGGAGTGGCCGGAGCTAGCAGCATTGAATGCCACAAACTCAACTATGAGCCAATCCAGACCAGCTGAGCGTCTCAAGGAGTCTCCATTGCGCAATGGAGAGCCATCCAAATGAAGAAGGCGAGGAGGCGGAGACGGGCGCGGCGATCCCTATTTCGGAGCTTGAACGGTGGCTTGCAGCTCCTCGAATAGAGTTCGACGAGTCTATTGCAAAGTCTCCAGACTTCCTACTGAAGTGGTGGAAAGAACACAAGGTCGAGTGGCCACTTTGGCTGCGGCGGCGCGTGATCTTCTCTCTGTCTCTGGCTCTGAAGTTGACGTGGAACGCCTCTTCAGCGGTTGTAGAGACGAATTCGGTATCCGCCGTCACGCCTTGAAGGCAGATACGGTGCGAGTACTAACACTTTTACGGAGTGCTTATACTCAGGAAGATAAGATCGATCAGGCGTTGATCAAGGCGGCCATGGAGTATGACATCCTGCCCTTTGCCAATAGTATTATTTGGAGACCAGACCACATTCCGGGCAAGCTGGAAGATGGTATGTATGGATATACCCTCATTATATATGTAGGTATATGCTAATCTGTGTTCAGGCGAGAATCCTCCTCAACCTCTTCCTCCCACCGAGGCTCCCACTGAACCCCTACCCCAAACCTCCTGCATCCCAAGCCGATAAGTCTGCGATATCAACCCCCTGTCTAGATACAATGGAGGCTTCGGAGGATTGGGGCTCTAAGAGTGTAGCCGTGTACAGTGGCGGATTCGAACGCGTTGTACCGACGTATTTTGAGGATTCGGCAGAGCTTTGAAAGTGCTTATTTTCAGTCGATTTGCCTAGGACAGGCGGATCAGTATTTATGTAAGTTAATTTTTGTAGTATTCGGGATTATCGACTTCTTAGAAGGCTATAACTTAAAACTATATACTACTTATTGGCGTTTTTGAGGCATCTTTGCAATCGCTCAGGTACACACCAAATTCACTTCGTTTAGGGATCCTTCAAACCATTCATGAATGGCCTGAATTGGCCCAAACCCAACTTGAATCGCGAAAATTGGAGCTTGAAGATTTTGAATCAAGATCCAAAAAATTCAATTCATTTGATTCATCCTTCATTCAAAATCTTCAAAATCTTCACCTTCGTCTATCACCCCTACTTTCTTGCTCCTTAGCTTTGAGTCTTTGTTCATAGAGGGTCCATTGGGATAATGGCACCTGCTTTATTTGTGGAAAAACAGGGCACCTCTCTCGCGACTGTCCCGACCGCACCCATGCTGTCTCCCGTGTCGCCTCCGTCCCTGTCCCTGCCAACGACTCTGATCAAGATTCGAAACGAATAGGACCATCACAAGACTCCTTGATGGTCCCTAAGGTGTCACAGATAGCGAGTAGGTCTAGCAAGTCATTCACTCTGCCAAGTCAAGTCCAAGTGGATGGTGTGAGCTTACCTGCCCGCTCCCTCTGTGATACCGGAGCCGAAACCCGTTTGCTGGTTAGCCCAACCTTCGCCCAGTCCGCCGCCCAAAGACTCGGAGCCCAGATTAAGGAGCTCCCGAGTCGGATTCTCCAAGACTTCCGTGGAAAGCCAGCCGGCTATATCCAGAAACAGCTGGTCGCCACTTTCGTCATCGATGGCCGTTCGTTCGCAAACGAGACATTTGATATAGCTGAGTGTGGCCATGATATCTTTATCGGTCTTTTCTGGATGCGGAGAAGCGCCTCCTGCTTGACTGCGCCGCCCGACAGATCATCTGGCCAGATGATCTTCCTGCCTCGCCAAGTTCTCCCCGACGATCCAGCTCTCTCGTCAAGCCCCGCTCTCGGGTCGGATCGACCCTAAGATCCAGGCCGACGCTGAGAGGCGGAACCGCCTGCTCGAGAAAGAGGAGAAACGCTACCGGATCCTCCACAAGAACTGGCGCCGCTCTGATCAAGCTCCTCCGGCCTCTGTCCCGACCCCGTTACCGACTCCGTCTCCGTCGTTTCAGTCCAAGTCTCCGTCTGCCAAGAAGTCTGTCCGTTTTCAGCTCACGACCGCCCCTGCTACCGACTTCGTCTCCGTCGCCTCGGTCCAAGCCTCCGAAGATCAAGCCCTGATTAACGCCCTGGTCTGCCAAGTAGAGTCTCACGAGAGATTCGAACAGTGGAACGAACTCGAACCGTTGATGCCCCGGGATCCAGTCCAGCTCGAGCCAAGCTCCGGCCTTGACCAGACCGTCCCTAGTGCTCGAACCGTTGCTAAAGTCTCCCCGGATCAGAAGACCTACCAGGGACAAAGCATTCCGTTCCCTCAGGGAGAAGACCCTGAGCATGTTGCTTGTGTCCGTAGTCGTCTACCGCCCCAGCTCACCCATCTAGAGGGATTCTTCTCGAAGAAAGAGGCCCACACCCTACCTTCGAGCCGACCCGGTCACGATGTAGTCCTAGAGCTTGAGAAGCCCTTTCGCCGACAGGACCCCATCGTACCGCACGCCCGTTAAGTATCTGCCTCTAGAGAAAGAGACTGTCGATCACCTCCGGAGATAGACTTCATCGAGCCCGATCCGAGTCCGCACGCCGCTTCTGTCCTCTTCGCCCGAAACCGAACACGACCGCCCGCCGCTTCTGCATCGACTACCGTTGGATGAACGATCATCTTAAAAGTCGCATCACGCCCGCTCCGTCCTCGAAGGTACTGCTTTCGGTTGCCGTGAAACTCAACGCTTCACGAAGATCGATGTGATCCAGGCCTTCCACCGTCTCCGCATGGACCCTGACTCGAGTATTTGACCGCCTTTCGCACCTGTTTCGGAACTTTCCGCTGGAAAGTCCTCCCGTTCGGTCTGAAGGTAGGTCCCGCCTGGTTCCAGCAGTTTATCAACGCGCAGCTTCACGATCTCCTCGACCGGTGCGCCAGCGCCTACGCAGATGACGTCCTGATCTACTCGGATAAAGAAGAAGACCACTGGAAAGACTGTCAAGAAGTGATCTGGCGACTCCATCAGGCCAACCTCCAGGGAGACATCAAGAAGTCTAGATTTAACGTGACCAAGGTTGACTACCTCGGCGTTCTGCTTGAAGCCGGTGTGGGCCTTAGTGTCGACCCTCGGAAAGTTCGATCGATACAAGACTGGAAGTTTGAAGACCTCCGAGACCGCACCGCGATCCGATCATTCGTTGGCCTATGCAACTTCATCCGTGTTTTCTGCTACCACGCCTCCGGAGTGGCAGAACCCTTGAACCGGTTGCTTAAGAAGGATGTTGCCTTTGTGATGGGCCCGGAGCAACGCGAAGCATTTGATCAACTCAAGCGCCTGGCTATCGAAGCCCCGGTCCTCGCCTTCTTTAGACCAGAACTGCCGACCCGACTGGAGACCGATGCCTCCCGGAATGCCACAGCTGGTGTTCTATGGCAGGAACAGCCTGATCAGACCTGGAAGCCCGTTGATTCTTCTCTAAGACCATGACCCCGGCCGAGCGAGCCTACCCAATCCAAGATCGAGAGCTCCTCGCCGTCGTACAGAGTCTAGAGCACTTCTACCCAGAGCTCTTAGGCCAGAAGTTCGATGTGATCACCGATCACGAAGCCTTAGTCCATTTCTACGAAGCGCCTGCTCTCGGTACGACAGATCAGATGGTCCGACTTTCTCGCCCAGTTCGACATCCGTTTCTCTACCGCCCCGGTCGACTGAACGTAGTCGCCGATGCCCTCTCCAGGAAGACAGCGGAGCTCCCTACCGTAAAGGCCCGGGCAGCCGAGGAACGCACGGTGACCCTGATCCGGGATACAGCAGACGCCCGATCAAGACCGCCCAGAACTAGACCCGAACTCGGTCCCGAAGGGAGCCGAACTCGTTTCGTTGATCCGCCAAGAGAACCTCCTCCAAGACCTCGGTACCCATGGAACACATCTGGTCGTACCAGCCCAGACCTCAGACAAGCAGACGTTTCTTCAGACCGCGCTCATTCGCGAAACCCACGAACCCCAGATCTTCGCTCACGCCGGACAGAACAAGGTGATCAAGCTGCTCCAACGAGACTTCTACTGGCCAAGGATGAAGGAGGATATCCGTCGTTATATTCGGAACTGCCACGACTGCCGCCGCAACAAAACCCCTCTGCAAGCTAAGCCGGATTATCGCCACGCTCCCAGGAAAGAAAACGATACGGCAGAAGTCTTAGCTAGCCGCTACTTCCGCTACCTCTATCGTTTCTTCGGTATGCCCTCGTATGGATTTCTGACAACGCTGGACAGTTTATTTCGCCTTCCTCGCAGAGATTAACCGGCTCACGGGAACGAAGCATCGTCATGGAAGCTCCCTACACCCTCAGACCCAAGGGTGTAGAAGTTACAAATCAATACCTAGATCAAAAGCTACGATTCTACGTGACGAAGCATCAAGATAACTGGAGTTCCCTGCTGCCCGCCCTCGACTTCGCCCATAACTCGTCTTGGCACTCTTCCATCGACATGGCACCGTTAAAAGTAGCCCTAGGCCGAGATATCCGGAACCCCCTGTCACTGCCCCCGACTGACAAGACCGCTGCCACCGGACCCGCCGCCAGAGCTAGGGAACTTGTGCAGACCGCCCAGGAAACCCAGGAAGACGCCAGGAATGCTGCCACCGCCGCTCAAGAACGTCAGAAGGAACAGGCTAATAGGAAACGACGACCAACCGACTTTGCCATCGGTGACCGAGTTTTCTCAGCAGGAAAGGCTTCGCCACGAACGCTCCGACTACTCGGCTAGATAACCAATGGTCAGGTCCGTTCGTAATCCTGGAAGAACGCGGTCATAGCTACGCACTGCAGCTGCCCGAGTCGTACAAAATGAAGAACCTATTCCACGCCGACCGTCTTCGAAAAGCAGCCGATAACCCCTTGCCCCAGCAGATCCAGACACCTCCGCCACCCGAGGAGATCAACGGAGAACCTGAGTGGGAGGTTGATCAAGTCCAGCAGTCTCGAGTAACCGGTAGGAGTCGACGACTGGAATACCAGGTCTTATGGAAGGGATGTGACCTGATGAGACCTGGTACCCGGCTAGGAATTTCCGTAACGCACCAATAGCATTGAAGGTATTCCACGATGAACATCCGGACGCAGCAGGCCCACCCGTCAACCTGCAATACTGGATCGAATGTGCTGCAGCGGAGGAGGGCTGCGAGGAACGAGACGATGATGACACAGCAGAGAAAGCCGTGAAACCAAGAACCCGCCGCCACGACTGACTACCTTGATACGCATATCAAGGCCTTAGACGGGGGGTAGTGTCACGACCCTGCGCGCCAGCGTAGAGACACCAGCGCAGAACCTCACCAGTGTCACGTGCCCAAGCAGCATCACGTGCCCACGTGCGACCTCGTGCTTACCTGAGCGCTGCTGAGGTAACCTCGTGCATATGCACATAAGGGCCAGCTCGGTCGTGTAGTCTAGTCTTTCTTTCTTGCTCCTTAGCTTTGAGTCTTTGTTCATAGTGCCAATACATCTTTATAGCCGTCAAGGCTCGTATGTGCCTGGCCGTAACACGGAGACCTTCTTCCGGGCGGTAGGAAAGCCGTCCAGCCAGCCCAGCGAGACGAAGAGTCAGAAAACGTCTTCGAAGATAGGCTTGAAATCTGGCTAGACAGACAGACCAGGGTTAAAGCAGTCCTCTGCAACCGACTTAGCTTTCTAGCCCGTGAGGATGTCAAGCACCTAGAAACGGCCGCGCAGATCCTCCAAGCCATCGAGGCGCGCTACAAGCCCAGTGGCAGCGCTTGCTTCCAGGAGCTGGATAAGAAGTACATGGACCTGACTCTCGATGTCTGTACTGATGTCATGGACTTCGCCGAAAAACTCCGACAAGCCCGCTCAGAGCTGCTAGAGCTCGACGTCTCTTGTCAAATCGGGGAACCCCAGTTCATCAGCAAGTTCCTCACAGGGCTAGGTCCAGCCTACGAGGTGTTTCTCACAGCATTCTATCAGCAACACAACCTGCTGCCAAAGAGGGACCTTGCTGGAGCGGTCAAAAGACCAGCAGTCTCCTTCGAAGAAGCCATCGCCGCTGCTGAACACGAAGAACAGAGCCAGAAGCAACGAGGCGCCACCGCCGGTCAAGCTCTTGCCATGACTCGGAGAGACAGAGACGTGCCCGTCTGCACCCACTGCAAAAGGAAAGGACACACCGTGGATAAGTGCTTTAGAGTCCATCCAGAGCTCAAGGCCGACTTCGACAAGAGACATGCAGAGAGACTCAAAAAGAAACAGGATCATCGCGGCAGGCAGGAGCCCACTACATCTTCCACTACACCTTCCATCACAGATATCCAGACCGCCCTAGCCTACTTGCAAGGTCAAGCCAATGACCAACCACAGTCGCAGTCACAGGCTCTTGCCAACCTCGCTATGCCCCGTTTCACCTTCCCATGCACGATACACCTCGCCCCTCCTGGTGCTGCCAATCCAGTGGGAGTGCGTGATGATCTGGATCCGGCAGCACTGGCCGCTCAGCACACGCTGCTTTCACAGATCCACATCCTCGACACAGGCGCCTCACAGCACATCTTCTGCCGCCGAGGCAAATTCGGGCCCTTGCTCCGTACACTGGTCTTCCTACGCAGGGGCCAAGGGAGCCCATTCCTGCCCATGGGCGCCGGCAGCTATGACCTGCCAGTGAAGGTCTGTGGAAAGACCACATGCTGACCTTCCAAGACGCCCTCTGTGCCCCTGACGCAGGCGTCAACCTGGTGTCCGTCACAGCTCTCGGCAAGCAGGGGTGCTGGATCCTTGGCAATGGCGAGCACGCTGCCATTGTTAAAGGCGGCCAGATCGTGCTGACGGCCACTGTGGCTAATGGTGTCTACGTGATTGACGAGCCGAACAGAGACATCAACGCCGCACTGGCTAGCCTGCGTACTCAGGATCCTGACCTGACCTCTGGAACGAAGCTACTGATGAAATCAGGCGTCATAGCGACCCAGCTGCCCTCGTCACCTCGCAGGTCCAAAATCCCAACCTACGCATCTGGCACGAGAGACTGGCCCACCTCAGCGAGCGCAACATCAAGAGGCTGCAAGGGATGTCCACTGGTCTGCGACCCCAATCGCCACAAGACCCGTGCGAGGCCTGCGCTATTGGCAAGATCAAGGAAGGATCTCATAGGCACTCTATTCGAAAGGGAACCTGGCCGCTAGAAAGTCTGCATATTGACATCTGTGGGCCGTTTCCGGACACTGGATACGACGGCAGCAGATACTGGGTGGCCATCCTAGACGACTACACTCAGTACGGATGGACCTTTAGCGTGGCCACCAAAGACAGCCTCTTCCCGATCTTCCAGGCGTTCCTTCAGAAGCATGAGACGCCTACCAGGCGATGCCTCTACGTGCGGATGGACCTAGGAGGTGAAAATCGCTCCACGCTGCTAGATGCCTTCTGCACCGACAAGGCGATCGAAGTCATCTACGCCGCCACGGAACAGCACCAGCAAAACGGGGCCATTGAGGTCTTCCATAGGGTCCTAAGCGAGAAGCTCAACCCTACGCTAATTCGGTCCGGCCTCGAGCGCAAATGGTGGCCCTACGTACTCCAGAGCATCACCTACGTCCGCAATTTGTCTCCTACAGCCAAGTTACCTATCACACCGTACGAAGCCTGGCACGGCGAAAACCTGATGTTACCCATCTTCGAGTCATCGGATCAAAAGGCTGGGCACTACTGCCAGCAGCCAAACGCAGGAAGCTGCAGCCTAAGGGTATCCCGTGCAGAATGCTGGGGTACCAAGGGCACTGTAACTACATCCTGCTTGATAGCAGCAACAGGGTCTTCGTGTCTCCCAACGTCATCTTTGTCGAACACGTCGCCAAGCCTACGGTCTCTGAAAGACAGCCCAAGAGGCCCAAGACTGGCCAAATCCTTGACCAGCTGATCCGGGAGGAAGGCCAGCAAGCCGAATGTCCGCCTCGGACACTTCGCAACGGCAACAATAGAACAGCCGACACCGCGTCTCTCTACACACCAGAAACTTCCACAGCGCTCTCGCCCGAGCCTGAAGATAGCCAAACCTCAGATTCCACGCGAGACCTGTCTGACAGCTCTGAAGACAACATAGTGTCCCATAGAGACGAGTCGGACGACAGTGCCCTGCTCGACCTGCTGGAAGAGACAAGCCCCGAACCATCTGTTTACTCAACTATCCATGCCGCTGCTGATCCGACCAGGCCGTCGGTCAGAAGGTCCACCAGACAAAGAGTTCCCCCTCTGCGCTATGGCTATAATTTCGATCACGCCTTCGCAATGGCTATGGCCATCTCACAGCAATGGGAAGACCACGAGCCCCTTGCCTTCAAACAGGCCATGCAGTCAGATAGCGCCAAGAACTGGCACGCCGCTATGGCGGACGAAATCCAGTCCCTGCAGGTCAACAAGACCTGGGAGCTCACTGACCTCCCGCCAGGCAGGAAGGCCCTACGAGGGAAGTGGGTTTATAGGCTGAAAAGAGGGACCGACGGCCAAATCGTCCGCCATAAGGCCAGATTCGTTGCAAAGGGCTACGAGCAACAGGAAGGCATCGACTATAGCGAAACCTTCGCCTCAGTGGTCAGGCCAGAAAGCTACAGAACAATTTTCGCCATAGCCGCCGCTGAAGACCTAGAGATCGAGCAAATGGATGTCAAGACCGCTTTCCTCTACGGGGACATCGACGAAGAAGTCTACCTCGAGCAGCCAGAGGGCTTCGAAGACGGCACTGGCCGCGTCTGCAGGCTCAAGAAGGCCATCTATGGGCTCAAGCAGGCGCCTCGCATCTGGTTCCACACCATCACCAAGTTTCTTGAGACACTAGGCTACAGGCCCATTGCGGCAGACGTCAGCGTCTTCGTCCGTGGCAAGAGCATCATTGCAATCTACGTCGACGACCTACTTCTCACTGGAGCCTGTCCTCGGAGGTCCAACGGATCAAGGATGCCCTCAGCAAACGCTTCCAGATGACTGACCTAGGTCCCTGCTCCCATTACCTAGGCATTAAAGTCACTAGAGATAGGGCCAGGCGTCGGATCGAACTGTCCCAGCGAGCCTACATTGAAAAGATCCTAAGGACCTACAACATGTCAGACTGCAACCCAACGGACACCCCTATGGCCGCAGATCCGCTCCAACCACCCGCAGAGGACTGGCACGCCCCTCCCAAGGACCAGGCCGCCTATGCCAAGAGGGTAGGCTCACTGATGTATGCGATGCTCGGCACTAGGAGCGATATCTGCTTCTCCGTTGGCGCCTGCTGCAGACACCTTGCCAACCCAACGTCTCAGCACCAGACAGCTGTGAAACGCATCATGAGATATCTTAAGGGCACCATTGACTATGTGCTAGTCTTAGAGGGACCACTGCAGCCGATCCAAGGCTACACTGACGCAGACTTCGCGGCGGACCTGCACACCCGACGATCGACGTCAGGCTTCTTCTACAGCCTCGGCTCAGCAGCCATCAGCTGGACCTCCAAGAGGCAGCCCTGTGTCACGCTCTCATCCACAGAGGCCGAATACGTGGCTCTGACCCAGTCAGCCCAGGAGGCCATCTGGCTGCGTTCCCTAATGAAGGACCTAAGCCACCCACAGGCTGTGCCAACAGCCATACACGAGGACAACAAGGGCGCTATAGATCTGGCCAACAACCCTCAGCACCACTCTCGCACTAAGCATATCTCTCTTAAGTGGCACTTCATCCGAGAGAAGGTTGCAGAAGGGACCGTCAGCCTTATCAAGATCGAAGGCACCAAGCAGCCTGCTGATGGGCTCACCAAGGCCCTGCCACGAGATGCCTTCCTCCGTTTCCGGGACTCTCTAGGCGTCAAGTCCGATTAGAAGCACCACACTGCTCAGCCTCTAATCGAGTGGGAGTGTCACAGGCATCTTCGGCCCTCCTTAGGCACTCAAGCCTCTACACACTGACGGAGCTCTGAGGCCACTCCGCGAGATCAATCTGGCCCTCCCTTGGCGAAGACCCTTCTGCAAGAAGGCAGCCACACTGACGGAGCTCTGAGGCCACTCCGCGAGATCAATCTGGCCCTCCATTGGCGAAGACCCTTCTGCAAGAAGGCAGCCACACTGACGGAGCTCTGATGGCCACTCCGCGAGATCAATCTGGTCATCCTCCGCAGTCCACGCGTTGCAAGCAACGAACCCGTAGGCGCGCTATTTCCTGTGTTTTTACCCACGAAGGTGATTTTGGGTTTTAGCGAGGGCTAGACGGGACTATCCTTGCCGCTGCACGGCACCTTGACTGTCTGACAGAGCCGCCCTTCAAGCGAGTTTGAGGTGGGTCATCCGGACCCCTGAAAGGCGCTCCCAGGGGGTTCTGTCAGCCGCTTGGAAGTGGCATATTAAGGAGGTCACCCCCATTAAGGGTCATTACTATTTCACGTTACCTAAAGTGGCGCACTCTTTCCCAATATTTTTCACCCATAAAGAGGTGTTTTTTGGGTTTTAGCGAGGGCCCTAGGAAACAGCACACTGCTGCACAGCACCTTCGCCTGTCTGTCAGAGCCGTCCTCAGAGCGAGTGGGAGTGTTGAAGTGGGTCATCAGAAACCCTGAACCCCTGAAAGGCTCTCTGAGGAGCCTCTGACACTAGCTTGGAAGTGATATATTAAGGTGGCATTTCTCTGTATTTACTCACAGATTTCTTTAACCTTCAATGAACACTTCATCCGCTACACAGCCTTCAACAACAACTTATCTTGACACGGACTGCCTGGCCCCGCGAAGAAGGAAACATAGGAAGGGAGGGGGGTGATGTAACGGGCAAGCCGCTTGAACGGCGGCTGCACCGCCGTGCTTCTAGAATCTTCCATTGACTCGAAGCTGTGATATATAAACTGCCGTCATGCTCTCATGTAACTAGCGGATTCCCTTTCTTTCTTCTCTATCTTGATAGTAAACAGCATAGGGACTAGTTACCCGTTGGCGGGGCCTCTGGCAGCCAACGGGTAACTCACTAGAGGCCTTTCACACAATGTATAATTCCATCACTGCGGGCCGGGCCGAGCTTTAACTCCAGCCAGTGGAGAACTCCGTGCAACGACCGAAAGCCACCAAGTCAACTAATTCCCTCCTGGGCCTGAAAAAAAATTACCAAAACCACCATCACCAAAACCACCAACAGCAGCACCACCAGCAGCAGGTGCGGCGGCATTAGCACCCTTAGCAATACTTTGACCAAGCTAGAGTTGCCAGCCGTATCAGCATGCCACGTGGAATCCGCCTTCTCGTTAGTCACGGGTTGGAAACTTACGTCACTCTGTGCAAATTTGTCCAAAGCTGCACCAGCCCCTTGTGCACCTTGGCCGCCAGGACCACTACCTTGAGTATTAGGAGTAGCACCTTCAGCACTAAATATAGGTTGACCAAAGTCATCAGTAGTACCAGGGCCTTGTCGTGCTGCTATATTTTGGTCCGTCACTGGGGCCGCTAGTCCTAGCCCGGTGAGGACGGTGAAAAGGGTAATTGAAACCTTCATGTTGGCCAAAAGGTACTTAAAAGGAGGACGATAAAGAAGCGAGGTAAAAATCGATGATGGCGTAAGTATAAGTAAGAAGTCTAGCGGGCGAAAATTCTATATCTTCGAGGTGAAATGCTCGCACTTTATAAGTTCGAGCCCCCCAGTTGTTTTTACCATGCACGAACCATATTGTTGTGTTTTTATTGCATCTCGAAAACAATAAAGTTAGTGAAACGAGCCAGCACGAATCGATGTTCAAGTGCAAGTCCCAACATTTCTCCACGACTTAGCCCAGGGTTAAAATCCACTCCACGCAATCCACCGGCAGCCCGAGTGGAGTGGGTAGGTAGTCGGTAGCTGGTTTCAAGAGTCATGAGGTGCGCCTTAATCCAAGCTATACCGGGACCAGGGTGAGTCCCCCATGTTCTAGCAGTTGACTGGTCGTGATTGTGGGAGCCTACAGATCTGAGGAAGGCGTGGCCCAGACGATCAGCCGAGGAGAGTCCTGTCAATTGTCTGGTGGGATTGAGCCAGGATATTCTTTTCAACGAGGCCGCGCGGGTACAGTCAAGAGCTCTCTTACCTCCAGAATTGTCTGAAGCACTAACTTCAGGCCTGGGTTACCATTGGCCTTTCACGTTTCAGCCGCGAGGAAGCAAGGGGCCCGGGCAGGGCTCCTAATAGTGTAACTGGTTTCGGGGACTATTGGTGTAAACTGCGGTTTGCACTAGGCAATGACTATGCGGGCCGAACCACTTTACTACGGGGGCCGCGTAACTTGGCTTGTGTTGCATACCGGTACTCATTGGGCGTGGGGAAACCGACTGCCTGAAGGCAGATAGGTGAAGCACTCTTCAACCCGAATCGCCGGTTCGGTTTGAAGATCAGCATCAGAGTGCTTTCTTGCGCGCTGCATTCATCGTGCCCACCGGGACGTGGCCTCGGCTGGCGTTGCCAGTATTGAAATGACGCTTGGTGGCAAGGCAGCGTTCGTCAGCGTAGGAGAAACGTCAATGGTCGGTGAAACAATGGACCTGTCATTGGCACGGGGGCTTGTGGTGGCGAACGCGTCCAGCCGTGTTTCGTCTTCGGTCACTGGTTGGTCCTGCTGTGGCGGAGCCTGTTTGTTGCATTAACAACAGTTTCATGGCGAGTCAGGTTTCAGCTCGAGGCGCTCACTCTTGTTCTTCTCTTCGTCGGCTGCACTTAGACGATATGACGACAACTGCTTGTTGAAGAAACCCAGTCAAGCCTCTTACAACGCCTGACTTGAGCAACCCACAGATCGAACCAAGGCAGACCTTGGATATCTTGGGCCTGCTCCGTCCTGCCCGGCACATGAACGGGTCTCCGGCGCCAACATAAACAAAGCGTTTCCCCGGAATGCTCATGTGGGAGTCGGATAGACGGTAGCAAGAGTCATGCTTTCGCAACAAGTCGGAGACTTTGGCGACAAAAGACTGTCAGCTGTTCACGAAGAGTTCCCCAGCGCCGATCTCGGTGCTGGGCTTACGATTCGTGGCAAACTATTATGCTGAAGCCTGTTGTCAGTGCCTACTGAGTCTGATGGCAATGCTTGTATGGTGGATACCCGCATGTGCATCACGCTCAGAGCATCCCTCCGAAGGCCAGGTGCCAGGTTTCCGTTGACCTAGCCGCCATTGAGCTCTCGTTATGAAACCCTGGTCGACTCGACACAGCTGCCACTATGAACCAACCGTCTCTTGATACAATCAAGCGTTTGGGGTTGGTCAGCTTTTTGCCTATGTCACGCAACTTCCTTGGTCCCGCATAATGTTTTCTTTTTCTCTTTTGACAAAGAGGGCAGAAGAGATGGGCCAGCAGCGAAACAGGAGTGTTGCACTGTTACACTGGCACATCAATATCTACAAGCCTCATCAACCTTTCTTTTGGGAGCCAATGCAATGCAATTTATTCCGCCCGGAGGGACCAACCCTAGAGGGCCGCGACACTCAGCTATTTACAGATCCTCCACTTTCGACTGCAACACCCAGAAGCCCCACATTTTGCTCCTATCCGTACATTTCAGCCTCCAATTTCGCCGTTGACAGGCCTGCTTGAAGGCCCATTTCTCCAAGTGTTCAGCATCCTATTCTCAGCAGCTGAAGCCCGGTCTGTCAATGAGAGGCTGTATGGTGCTAGTACTGTGCACTCTGGTTTGCCAGTACTGTCATCGTTGGTCCGTGTCTAGTCTCCCGGTTGCCATCGCGAATTTGATCGTAGCGCGTACTGCTGGTAGGTTCGGCTTCCATTTGTCGCCATCGGACATCGACTTCCCTCCTAGGAAGAAAGACAGATTTCCAGTCTTGTCGAGCGGGCTTGAAATGGCGAGTTCTCCTGGATGCGCCCCTCGCGTGTCGCTTTCCGCGCTGCTGCCTTTGCTTTTGCCCCCAACGCAAACCCTTCAGCTCCTGCCGGGGCCCATATCATACGAATCGAAACACCCCGTTGCCGGAAGAGCCTGACATGCTTGTAAATTTCTTGGATGATGTATTGGCCCGACTGCTGGCGCGGTTGGCCAATCGCCTGCATGGCCGATCTGTTGCTTGTGACAAAGACTAGCTCTCTTTGCTCGAGTCGCGCTGGCATACATCGCAGAGCCGTGGCAATCGCCTCCAGCTCCGCGACATATGGGTTTTGATCTTCTCGCGGCCCCAGAGTGATGGAATAGCTCGCCAGTGCTTCTTGCTCGTTGTTGACTCTCGTATCTCGAACACAGCCTCCCATGCCGACTACGCCTCGCCTTTCGGATGAGCTCGTCGCGACGACAATGCCTTGCGCTTTCGCAACCAACTCAGCTGCCTGGTCATCATCGAGGTCACAGAGAACACGAATGCGGTCTTCCACGGGGCCACCGCGTATTCTCTGATGACTTCCAATCTTTGACCTGCTGACTCTCCATGCTCTTGAGCCATCGTTTGCAGTGGGGACGTGAATCTTCGGCACACTCTGATGCCCAGCCGGGCGAGAGGATGCGCCCTCGGGAGAGTACGAACGCTGATCCAAAACCTCGCCGCTGCTTGAGTGTGCCGATTTACCACCGGCCGAATGCTTGCCTCTGCTTCCGCGACTGCCGTCGACACGGTACGGAACGCTCCGGTCACCGCCTGCGCCCCTACCATCTGTGCTCGATTCAACCAGTAGCCCTCCTCACTCCGCATGCATGAGCCCAGACAGTGGAGGCATAATCCATAGCAGGCGCAACCGCAGCCGTGAACAACTGCCTGGCCACCCGGGGCGACAATCCACGCAGTCTTTTCAGCTGCATCGCGGTTTCCAGTCCCTTCGATGCCGCTCGTGCCATATGCTCCTTATATCGTAGTTTTGCATCCATGACCACTCCCAGCACCTTGGCGTTTTCCTGTGGCCAGATCGTTCTTCCTTTGATAACAAATGGACTTGAGCTAGAGCGCTCGGCCATTCGTGTAAAGTGAATGATGGTCGTCTTGTCGCCCTCGAACGTCGCCCCGCTCCGCTTTTCCCACTCTAGGGCACGGTCGATGATGGACTGGATTCCGTCCCGGTTCGACTCTGCAGTCGAGCCTGTGACCCAAGCCGAGTAATCGTCCACGAATGCGATTGATCCTCCGGAGGTGCTGATTTTGGTCTGCACTAGGTCTGCGTTGAAGAAAAGAAGAGAATCGGCGAAAGCGGCGATCCCTGGGAAGACCTGCTTGTGGGAGCTCTTGCTGTGCGGTACAGTGTCCATTGACCGTGATGCTGGCCGTCCGCTCAGAGCAGAATGCGTCTACCCACCTGACCAGCTCGGGGCAAACCCTCGCTGCGAGCCGTTGTAGAAGCCTATCCTTGAACACTCCGTTATAAGCACCCTTGACGTCGAAGTTCACAAGACTAAGCACCTTGCCCATTCGCCATGCTTTGTAGATTTTCTTGCAGGAGCACGAGAGCCTGCTCCGCGGAACGCCTCTTCCTGGCTCCAAAGTGGTTAGTTGGCAACAGCCCAAACGTTTCCACCGCAAAGGAAATCCGCTCGGCCAATAGGCTCACGGTACCCGCGAATCTAATATTTCGCGGGCACCGTGACAATGACTAAGCAGATGTCGCAGGGGGGGAGCCAATAGGCTCACGGTACCCGCGAATCTAATATTTCGCGGGCACCGTGACAATGACTAAGCAGATGTCGCAGGGGAACGCGAGCCCGGTGACCGCGCGTGTTATTGACGGTCGACAACGCGCCTCAGCAAAAGCACCCGTCCGCTTAAACATGCTGTAGCGACCGTTAAAATGGGTCCGCCTTCTCTCGGGCCGACTGCACCGTTTGCCGAAGACTGTCTTCCACCGGAACTTGACTACGACTCTCGCGATGACCTCCTCATTTCGATCAACGCTTGGGCTGCGACGCGGGCTATGCCTTCACAACGGGAAAGTCCACCAGAGCCAAGGGTGGCAGACAGACAGTGACCTTCGCGTGCGACCGGTCTTGTCGACCCCCAAATCCGTCGATAGAACGTCAGCGAAAGACAACAACCCGAGGGACGGGCTGTGAGTTTTCGATTTTGGCCAAAGAATCAGCCGACAGGCAATCTTGGGCTGTGCGACACCGCCCAGACAAACGATTTTCCCTGCATAATCACGCGCCCAGTCGCCACCCTTCTGCTCATCCTGCTCATCGTAGGTTGACGGAGAAAGATATTGAAAAGTTATCGCGCCTTTCTAATGCCGGCATTGTCCCAAAAGATATTCGGACCTATATACGACAGAACTGCGATTCTCTTGCCACACAACAAGACATTTACAATGGAATTGCAGCTACCAAGAGAGATGTATGCGAAGGGCAAAGTTCAATTCACGCTTTGGCCAGTCAGCTCGACCAGGAGGGGTTTTGGAGTCGGATCCAATTCGGCCAAGACGGCCGAGTGACCGCAGTCCTGTTCGCTCATCCAGAGTCCTTGACGTATCTCCAGGCATACCCAGATGTCTTGTTGCTAGATTGCACGTACAAGACGAACAAACACGGCATGCCGCTCCTCGACATGATAGGAGTAGATGCTTGTCAGCGATCATTTTGCATAGCATTTGCATTCCTTGGTGGGGAGACCGAAGCTGACTTCGTGTGGGCGTTGGATCGCCTGAGGTCACTGTACGAACACCATAGCGCCCGCTTACCCTCTGTCGTCCTAACAGACCGCTGCATCGCCTGTATGAACGCCGTTGCCATTTCCTTTCCCACTTCTTGCTCACTACTCTGTCTGTGGCATGCCAACAAGGCCGTCCTCCGCTATTGCCGGCCAGCCTTCGTCCGCCAGGACCAACCGGAGTCCACAAACGCAGAGACAATTGATACGTCAGAGAGCAACGGCTGGTCTGAGTTCTACCAATTCTGGCACTCGATCATGGCTGCACCAAACGAAGAAGCATTCAAGGACCGAGCTACGCAATTCGAGAAGAAGTACCTACCCAACCACCTCAAACAAGTTGGATACATCAAAACTTTCTGGCTTGAAGGGTATAAGGAAAAGCTTGTTAAGGCTTGGGTTGATCAACATGCTCATTTTGGAAATACAGTCACGTCGCGCGTGGAGGGCATACATGCATTGTTGAAGGCCCATCTCAAAAAGTCCACGCTAAATCTTTTCGAGGCTTGGAGGGCGATGAAGCACGCGTTACTCAATCAACTGTCAGACTTGAGATCGAATCAAGCCCGACAGCAGATTCGGGTCCCAATTGAGCTCTCTGGGCCCTTATACGCTTCAGTGCGCGGTTGGGTCTCCCATGAAGCGCTGAGAAAGGTGGAGGAGCAGCGGAAGATGCTTGGTAGGAGAGATCCTCCCCCACCGCCAACTTGCACGGGGGCTTTCACCAAGTCCCACGGGCTGCCTTGCCTTCACACTCTAAAATCTTTGCAAGAGCAAGGACAAGTACTCTTACTTGAGCACTTCCATACGCACTGGCACCTGCAGCGGGATGGAACCCCGGCCGCTGCTAGAGCCGCGCCAGCGAATCGAGTCGACCTTAGCAAGTTCGGCTATTCCCAAGCAGAGCACTCGGAGAGAACCCAGTGCATTTGAGAGTATCGAGGAGGCTCGTAAAGCGCCACCCACATGCAGCAGGTGCCATACGGTTGGTCATAGGATGACCGCGAAAGCCTGCCCGCTGCGCTTTGAGAGCTGCTTCAAGAGACTACGTCGTCGATGCATTCACGATCGGTGTCACCATCGGAGATCGTACCGTCATCCCAGTACGTGCAAGCCGCTTTGGACGCACAGGAGCCAGAGCTTGCAACTGAGCCGCCAACTGATGCGTCCCTGGCGACGGATTTGGGGAGTGTCGCAGGAACCCTTACAATTCTGCCCACTACAGCTCCAGACCATCCTCCTGCCCAGTCGGGTCAGTCCTTTCACGCCGAAATAGGTTCAGTTGCCACGACCTTTCCCGGTGACCAAGATTCCGGGCCCGTACCGGGTCCGCCCCGCGATGCCACTGAGCTGCTGGTATCGCCACCACCTATCTCACCTGACTTGCCAGCCCCACCGCCGCCGAAATATGATTCACCAGAAGCTATACACAAAAGTTATACCGCTGCAAGAAGCGCATGGTATGCAGCGCAGCCGGCCGGCAGCATCAAGACAAACCAACAATACCGCAAGGCAATGAGGCTTCCAGCTAGGTATGACAAGCAAAGCTATGAATGGTGTATGGACTACAAACAAATGTCCAGGCATTGCGCCACTACAACGGGGTTGAGAGCATGGACGAAAGAAGAAATGATGGCATACCTTGACTGGAGCCATGCAGAAGATCAGCGTGTTGAAGCCCAGATCATGAAGGAGATGGGAGACAATCCGTTAGCCAACACACGGAAGGGCGTGGCCGACATTTGGCGACAGGTAGAAAAGGACAGCCGAGAGCAGGAAACGCTGTATTCTGCACATGTTGAGGCAGATGATTGTATTTTCGTCGAGCCGTAGTTGGCTCTACTGATATTAGCAGCTCTTTAGTTCTAGTAGACAGTAGACTCACACATACGACGAGCACAGTGCCGACAGACTACCCGCATCATGGCTTTACGCAGACAACGGACTGTGATTAGTCATTTTCGCGGTGCCCGCGAAATATTAGATTCGCGGGTACCGTGAGCCTATTGGCTCCCCTTTCTTTTGCAAGGCTTATTCACCATTCCCTCAGCCGAGGCATATTCGGCCGTATACTCAGCCAAGACTCATTTTGTCTTCCAGTCAACCTAGGCTAATGCAGGCAATTAACCTTCCTTTTGCCTACGCTTTTCACAGCCACAACCCAACAGCTGGGTTATTCATTCACTTCCACTGTTCTTCTAGCTATATAAGATCATTTACACTCCCTCTCTAGATAGAAGAATCAAGAGCTTTATTCCACTCAAGATTAATGCTTGCTGCCCATCTCGTAATGCAATAGTTATGAGCCCGGTTTGCACAACTGGGTGATTATATTATTTTCACGGTATCGCTTCCACTTCGCATCATCACGCGACGACAAGATGGCTCAATCATCTGATCACGAGAGCTCTTCCAAGGTCATCATTCTCAACGGACCTTGTGACTGGAAACAATGGATTTCCGTCATCCAGAAATTCGCCACATCTCATAACATCTGGGAGTTTGTGGACCCTGCGAATGACGACAAATCAACCATTGTAAGGCCATCAGAGCCTACACACATCCAGGTGAACGCCCAAGCATCTGATCTTGGTGCTCTAACCTCAGAAGAATTCCGTCGATTGGAATATCTTCACACATCATACCGATCTAGGCTCCAAACCTATCGGGACAACACGAAGGCCCTCGCCAGCCTTCAAGAACACATCGTCAAGCATATCGGCAATTACTACAGCACAATTGCTGACGAACATGACGTTGCCAAGCAACTATCTCTCCTCCAAGCCAGAGTCGCACCGACTGACTGGGCCCTTGAGAGAGAAGTCTTGGAACGTTACCGAGCCGTTCTTCGAGCTCCTGACAGGTCCGAGATTGAGACCTGGGTCACGAAGTGGCAGAAGACCCTCACCGAAGCTAAGAAACTAGGGCTCCCTGACACACAGGGTCTCCGCCCTACTCAAGACTTTCTTCAGGCAGTCTCATCCATCAACGAACCATTCACTGACTACTGGATCAACAAAATGGAGGATGAAGCTGTCACCGGAAAACCCGACTGGAAGGACCACTTCCCAGACGGCATTAAAATCTCTGAGATCTTCGAACGCGCCCACCGCATTAAGAATGCCGGTTCCAAGGGCAACAATGATAAAGGCGGAGCATTTCCAGTTGGCTTCCAAGGCCGTGACAAAGATGGGAAGCAGAAGCCTACTTCAGACGATGAGAAGAAGGAAAACCGTTGCGTTTGTGGTAACAAATTTCACTCAATCAATAAATGTTTCTACCTCGACAAAACGATCAGACCAGAAGGATGGGTCCCTCATGAACCCGCCCTCAAGAAGATCAGAGATAAGCTTGAGTCCAACATTGATTTGAAACGCAAAGTTGATACCATCTTGGACCGCACTGGCACTCTCCTGGAGTCGGACAAGAAGGAAGAACCCCTCAAAGGTGCAGCATTTGCAGGACTTCCGATGGAAGAAGCATCTGATCACGAGCCTGCCCCTACGCCGGATTCATTCCCTACTCCACTCACTCATTGCACGAGCTTTTCAACTTTAAAGGCTCCATATCCTCTTCGAGACTCATTTATCCTGGATTCCGGATCCGATACGCACATCTGCAATAACGAATCCCGGTTTTCCAACTACGTTCCCCTTGATCAACCAGAAGAACTTTTCGCAGGCGACTCACAGCTATGTATTCTTGGTTACGGCACTGTAATGCTACGTATCACAGGTGGGCTATTTCAGCTCAACAACGTGGCATACATCCCGAACTTCCATACCAACGTTGCCTCGCTCGACCTCTTCATTCAAAGGGATACAATTGGGATCCTGCTTCAGGAAAGGTATTCAAGCAAGATGACGGTACAATCATATGCATCACAAAGCGTGTGCATCGTCAGCCCGTTCTTGAGTACAATGAACTCCCAAAATCATCATTTGCAGCCTCTTCAAGCCCGCGCACATTGCAGTCAGCAGAAGCCAGCCTTTGGCACAAGCGACTAGGCCACTTGAACGCTGATGCACTTCAACACGCTGTTGAAAACACTCTCGGATGCAAGATCAAAGGCCCATTGCAATTTGACTGCGAAGCTTGCTCCCTAGGCAAAGCAAAACGGCTTGTTTCGAGACGGAAACCACAGACGAAGGCGCCGCGACCCTTCTGGAGAATCTACATAGATATCTTCAGTCATCACCCTTCCTTCAACGGGAAGAGAGCCGCCCTTTTGGTCACAGACGATTTTACAGGCATGATTTTCGTCTATCCTCTCAACGACACCACGCAAGAGTCTCTCATGGGTGCTCTCAAAGCATTCGCCGCCTTCATTTTTCGTCAATGGAAGCTACAAGTCTGCATCGTCCACAGGGACAACGATCCTGGGCTACAGACAGCCTACGATGAATGGATCACACACGAAGGCATCAAGGATGAGCCTTCTGCTCCCTACACACCCGCACAGAATGGATCAGCTGAACGATCTGGGGGGGTAATATCCACCAAGTCTCGCACTATGCAAATAGGAGCGAATCTTCCCCATGATTTGTGGCCAGAAACTTGGAACGCCGCAGCCTTCCTTCACAACAGATCGCCCCAGCAATCCTCTGACTGGAAAACCCCGTTCGAGAAGCTTCATCAATGGCTCCTTGACGAAAAGAAGGATAAGTCCCTGCACATAGAAATGGGCACCCCCCTGTTTTGGGCACCCAAGATGGGTGCCCAACCTAAACGGCTGCGTCAACTTCAACAGCAAATTTCACCGCGGAAACGCATCCAATCTGCTAAAAAATTGACGCATGTGTCTTCAAGCCACTACTGATGAAATATACAGAGTCTGACATTCACAGCGCCCTTGAGGCAATCGCCAATGGCGGATCCGCCAAGAAGGCTGCTCGCGATTGGGGCGTCCCGAGGGCAACTCTTTACAATCGCATGCATGGTCACGAATGCAGAAAGGATGCATTTTCTGCTCTTCAGAGGCTTTCTCAGACACAGGAAAAGCAACTTACCGAATGGATTCTCATTCAGGACGCCTTGGGCCTTCCTCCCACTCACTCGCAGATCAGGCAGTTCGCGCAGCGCATGCTCGCCGTCAAAGGAGACCACACACCGCTCGGAAAACACTGGATGCAAGCATTTTTAAGACGAAATCCTGCAGTTCGGACCCAGAAGTGCCATCACAGAGACTCTGCGCGTGTCAACGGCGCTTCTACCGAGGTAATTCGGCCTTGGTTCAACAATTTCTTCCTTCCGAGATTCTGGCTATTAAGCCGGAGAACAGGTACAACATGGATGAAGCAGGCATCATGGAAGGACTTGGGGAGAATGGCCTGGTCGTTGGCAGTGCTGAAAAACGATCTGTACAAAAGAAGACGCCTGGTTCTCGGGTCTGGACGTCGTTCATCGAGTGCGTGTCCGCTGCCGGCACCTTCCTCCCTCCACTCGTCATTTTCAAGGGCAAATCGGTCCAGCAACAGTGGTTCCCAGAAGATCTCAGTACTTTTAGTGACTGGCAATTCACTGCGACAAAGAACGGCTGGACTTCGGACCAAACTGCGGTGGAGTGGCTCGAAAAGGTGTTCATTCCAAGAACCCAGCCACCCGACCCTTCGGAGCGAAGACTGCTAGTATTGGACGGCCACGGAAGTCACGAGACGGTTGACTTCATGTATCTATGCTACCAGCATCAGATTCACCTTCTTTTCTTACCTCCCATACCTCTCATGTGTTGCAACCGCTCGATTTGTCTGTCTTCTCCGCTCTTAAGCACTACTACCGCAAACAGGTCGGATTTCTCAGCCTCCTGACCGATTCAAGCCCAGTCGGCAAGCAAAACTTTCTTTCCTGCTACCAGAAAGCACGCGAGCAAGCGCTCACTGTGTCAAACATCAAGGGTGGCTGGAAAGCGACGGGTTTGTGGCCGGTGTCGATGGCGAAGCCACTTTTGAGCCCTCTTCTGCTGGAGAACAGCAACAGACGCAAAAGAACGCGAAAAATGTGGCCAATGCATTCAATAGCCACTTACCCACCAGTGACTGGCAATCAGACACATCCCAGATTGCGTGGTCGACCCCGAGGCGCTCGCAAGATCTGAAGGTTCAGGTAGTTCAATTCAACCAGCTAGACGACGACGTGCCCACGAAGAGATTGCTGTTCAGGAAGATCAGAAAGGGTTTGACGAGAAGGATGGCCTTTAGCAAAAGCTCAATTGCAGATTCAGGCACTGGAAACACAATTGGCGGCCGTCAAGCCGAAAAAAAGGAAGAGGGTGGTCACGAGCCCGAATTCGAGGTTCGCCAATATTGAGGCAATACGACGGGCGCAGGAGGAGGTGAACGCAGCTGAGAATGAAGAATCTGATGAAACCGAAGCTGAGGTTTCAGAAATAGGTGACGATTGTATCGTAGTGCACGGTGGTGGGCAGTGAGAAGGGATTGAATTAATGGTGTTGAAAATGGTCGTGATTTTTTTGGGGTGCCCAAAACAGGGGGGTGCCCATTTCTATGTGCAGGGACTTACAGGATACCTTCAGGGTCACATCAAGCCAGACACCACCTTCCTCAAAGCATATGGTTGTAAAGCCTATCCTTTGACAGTTCAGGCTCTAAACAACACCCAGAAGAAGGATCTTAAGACCTCTCCTCACGCCGAAGTCGGCTACCTTGTCGGCTACGATTCTACTAACATCTTCCGCATTTGGATTCCTTCCCGAGATGAAATCAGACGAGTTCGTGATGTCAAATTCACTGAGGACTCTTTCTACGACCCGGACCTATCAGAACCATCTGATCAGGAGCATTCACGTCTAGAAGTTCAACTTCCAGCTCATATTGAAGACGAATCTGACTACGAGGAAATCAGCGAAAATATCACTCAGACCCCTGAATCGGCTACTGAAGTTCAGCCCGATGACACCATCGTGGTTCAAACCAATGAACCATTTGATCATGAGAACACGGATCAAAATCCCTATCCATCTCCTGCTCCCACGAGAGATTCTCCACCAGATTCTCTTCAACTCACACCACTAAGTCGGCAGCCAGCAGCCGCAGCGCCGCAACCTCGCAGGTCACAAAGACCCCCACAACCTCGAAAGCACGGAGCATTCTCAGCTCTCACAACAGGACGCTTTCACAGCAGCTTCTTTCTCGGCAGAGAAGAAAAGCTTCATCAAAGATCCCTTCCTCCTGAACCCAAGACCTGGAGAGACCTCAAGAATCATCCCTTTGGACCACAGTTCAAAGAAGCCGGAAACGTCGAATGGAGATCCCTCCAACAGAGAAGAACGTTCACACCAATTCCAAAGGCCGAAGCCGTAGGCCGTGTTATACCCCTGACCTGGGTGTTTAAATATAAGTTCAACAAGCACGGGTTCCTCATCAAATTCAAAGCCCGAATCTGCGTCCGCGGAGACTTGCAATTGCTAGGAGACAAAGACACCTATGCAGCAACCCTTGCAGGCCGCTCCTTTCGCATTCTGATGGCTATCACAACCAAATTTGACCTCGAGACTAGGCAACTCGACGCGGTCAACGCATTCACAAACAGCCTCCTTGATAAGGATGAAGTCATCTTCGTCCGGTTCCCCGACGGCTTCATGCGAATCGGATGGGTACTTAGACTCAACAGAGCTTTGTACGGGTTACGAAGGTCCCCTCTTCTTTGGCAGAAAGATCTCACAGCAGCCTTTGAAGACCTCGGACTAACCCAATGCCCTGACGAACCTTGTATCTTCCAGAACGACTGGCTCACTGTCTTCTTCTTCGTTGATGACATAGTCTTCCTCTACTGGAAAGCAAATACAGCTGCAGCAGATCAGCTAGCAGCAGCCCTTCGAGCCAAGTTCGCCATGACGGACCAAGGAGAGCTCAATGGTTCCTGGGAATTCGCGTCCTTCGCGATAGGCCTAATAGGAAGCTATGGCTCTGCCAAGATTCCTACATCGAGAAGATCGTTCAGAAATACGGTCTCAGACAGCTCGATGAAGTCAAAGGCGTCCCTTTCCCCACAAATGAGTTACAGCCTAACTCACTCAAGGCTTCTGATGACGAAATTCAGCTCTACCAAGGCAAAGTCGGCTCTGTGAATTACGCATCAGTGATCACTCGCCCGGACATAGCTAAGGCAGCTTCAAAACTGTCAGAATTCCTCCTCAACCCCTCGGAACACCATTCCAAGGCGGTAGACCATTTGATTGAGTATCTCTACGCCACGAGGTATCTCGCAATTGAGTTCTCAGACTCAATAGAGCCCATTTCAATTTCGGATCCCGCACCCGCAGGCATATCCGCCCCAACATCATCCCTCGAAACCCACTACACAAGTGATTTCGAAATCGCGTCTGATGCAGCCTTTGCGGACGACAAACAAACCAGAAAGTCATCCCAAGGATGCATTCTCACCCTTTTCGGCGGGCCAATCATCTGGAAAGCAGGCAAACAGGATACCGTCACAACGTCATCCACTGAAGCCGAGCTCCTCGCCCTCACTCACACTGTTAAGGAAACAATTGCAACCATGCGCCTCTTCATGCAGCTTTCATTGAAGCTCGACGGCCAGCCAATGATTCAGTGTGATAACCTTCAGACAATCCGTCTTGTATCCCAAGACATTCCACGGCTCCGTACAGCACTCAAGCATGTTGATATTCATTCCTGCTGGGCTAGGCAAGCCTATCAACGGAAGCATTATGACATCAAATACACTCCAACAGCTCTCATGCTTGCTGACGGTCTCACCAAGCCGCTTCCAGGCCAGAAGTTTAAAAACTTCGTCAAACGCCTCAACCTCGTCGACATCTCTTCGATTCTTGAACTATCAGATCAGGGTGGTTTTCCATACATGGAAAGGGGGAGCCAATAGGCTCACGGTACCCGCGAATCTAATATTTCGCGGGCACCGCGAAAATGACTAATCACAGTCCGTTGTCTGCGTAAAGCCATGATGCGGGTAGTCTGTCGGCACTGTGCTCGTCGTATGTGTGAGTCTACTGTCTACTAGAACTAAAGAGCTGCTAATATCAGTAGAGCCAACTACGGCTCGACGAAAATACAATCATCTGCCTCAACATGTGCAGAATACAGCGTTTCCTGCTCTCGGCTGTCCTTTTCTACCTGTCGCCAAATGTCGGCCACGCCCTTCCGTGTGTTGGCTAACGGATTGTCTCCCATCTCCTTCATGATCTGGGCTTCAACACGCTGATCTTCTGCATGGCTCCAGTCAAGGTATGCCATCATTTCTTCTTTCGTCCATGCTCTCAACCCCGTTGTAGTGGCGCAATGCCTGGACATTTGTTTGTAGTCCATACACCATTCATAGCTTTGCTTGTCATACCTAGCTGGAAGCCTCATTGCCTTGCGGTATTGTTGGTTTGTCTTGATGCTGCCGGCCGGCTGCGCTGCATACCATGCGCTTCTTGCAGCGGTATAACTTTTGTGTATAGCTTCTGGTGAATCATATTTCGGCGGCGGTGGGGCTGGCAAGTCAGGTGAGATAGGTGGTGGCGATACCAGCAGCTCAGTGGCATCGCGGGGCGGACCCGGTACGGGCCCGGAATCTTGGTCACCGGAAAGGTCGTGGCAACTGAACCTATTTCGGCGTGAAAGGACTGACCCGACTGGGCAGGAGGATGGTCTGGAGCTGTAGTGGGCAGAATTGTAAGGGTTCCTGCGACACTCCCAAATCCGTCGCCAGGGACGCATCAGTTGGCGGCTCAGTTGCAAGCTCTGGCTCCTGTGCGTCCAAAGCGGCTTGCACGTACTGGGATGACGGTACGATCTCCGATGGTGACACCGATCGTGAATGCATCGACGACGTAGTCTCTTGAAGCAGCTCTCCAAAGCGCAGCGGGCAGGCTTTCGCGGTCATCCTATGACCAACCGTATGGCACCTGCTGCATGTGGGTGGCGCTTTACGAGCCTCCTCGATACTCTCAAATGCACTGGGTTCTCTCCGAGTGCTCTGCTTGGGAATAGCCGAACTTGCTAAGGTCGACTCGATTCGCTGGCGCGGCTCTAGCAGCGGCCGGGAGTTCCATCCCGCTGCAGGTGCCAGTGCGTATGGAAGTGCTCAAGTAAGAGTACTTGTCCTTGCTCTTGCAAAGATTTTAGAGTGTGAAGGCAAGGCAGCCCGTGGGACTTGGTGAAAGCCCCCGTGCAAGTTGGCGGTGGGGGAGGATCTCTCCTACCAAGCATCTTCCGCTGCTCCTCCACCTTTCTCAGCGCTTCATGGGAGACCCAACCGCGCACTGAAGCGTATAAGGGCCCAGAGAGCTCAATTGGGACCCGAATCTGCTGTCGGGCTTGATTCGATCTCAAGTCTGACAGTTGATTGAGTAACGCGTGCTTCATCGCCCTCCAAGCCTCGAAAAGATTTAGCGTGGACTTTTTGAGATGGGCCTTCAACAATGCATGTATGCCCTCCACGCGCGACGTGACTGTATTTCCAAAATGAGCATGTTGATCAACCCAAGCCTTAACAAGCTTTTCCTTATACCCTTCAAGCCAGAAAGTTTTGATGTATCCAACTTGTTTGAGGTGGTTGGGTAGGTACTTCTTCTCGAATTGCGTAGCTCGGTCCTTGAATGCTTCTTCGTTTGGTGCAGCCATGATCGAGTGCCAGAATTGGTAGAACTCAGACCAGCCGTTGCTCTCTGACGTATCAATTGTCTCTGCGTTTGTGGACTCCGGTTGGTCCTGGCGGACGAAGGCTGGCCGGCAATAGCGGAGGACGGCCTTGTTGGCATGCCACAGACAGAGTAGTGAGCAAGAAGTGGGAAAGGAAATGGCAACGGCGTTCATACAGGCGATGCAGCGGTCTGTTAGGACGACAGAGGGTAAGCGGGCGCTATGGTGTTCGTACAGTGACCTCAGGCGATCCAACGCCCACACGAAGTCAGCTTCGGTCTCCCCACCAAGGAATGCAAATGCTATGCAAAATGATCGCTGACAAGCATCTACTCCTATCATGTCGAGGAGCGGCATGCCGTGTTTGTTCGTCTTGTACGTGCAATCTAGCAACAAGACATCTGGGTATGCCTGGAGATACGTCAAGGACTCTGGATGAGCGAACAGGACTGCGGTCACTCGGCCGTCTTGGCCGGGTTGGATCCGACTCCAAAACCCCTCCTGGTCGAGCTGACTGGCCAAAGCGTGAATTGAACTTTGCCCTTCGCATACATCTCTCTTGGTAGCTGCAATTCCATTGTAAATGTCTTGTTGTGTGGCAAGAGAATCGCAGTTCTGTCGTATATAGGTCCGAATATCTTTTGGGACAATGCCGGCATTAGAAAGGCGCGATAACTTTTCAATATCTTTCTCCGTCAACCTACGATGAGCAGGATGAGCAGAAGGGTGGCGACTGGGCGCGTGATTATGCAGGAAAATCGTTTGTCTGGGCGGTGTCGCACAGCCCAAGATTGCCTGTCGGCTGATTCTTTGGCCAAAATCGAAAACTCACAGCCCGTCCCTCGGGTTGTTGTCTTTCGCTGACGTTCTATCGACGGATTTGGGGTCGACAAGACCGGTCGCACGCGAAGGTCACTGTCTGTCTGCCACCCTTGGCTCTGGTGGACTTTCCGTTGTGAAGGCATAGCCCGCGTCGCAGCCCAAGCGTTGATCGAAATGAGGAGGTCATCGCGAGAGTCGTAGTCAAGTTCCGGTGGAAGACAGTCTTCGGCAAACGGTGCAGTCGGCCCGAGAGAAGGCGGACCCATTTAACGGTCGCTACAGCATGTTTAAGCGGACGGGTGCTTTTGCTGAGGCGCGTTGTCGACCGTCAATAACACGCGCGGTCACCGGGCTCGCGTTCCCCTGCGACATCTGCTTAGTCATTGTCACGGTGCCCGCGAAATATTAACGTAATCCACCCCCTTCCCGGTCAGACCCCCTACTCGGTCAGAAAAAGTCTCCACGCGGCGACCCACACTTATGGCAAGACAAACCGAGCACTATGACGGCAACGGGAGACCAATCGGTTCCACGCGAAGAACGGGTCCTGCTCGCCGTCAGGGCCTATCAGCAGGGCCAATTCAAAAGTACCCGCAAGGCTGCGGCCGCATACGACGTCCCTCAATCGACAGTATCTGATCGACTGCGCGGTGTCATTCGCCGACGCGACGCTCAGATGAACAACCTGAAGTTGACGGCGACGGAAGAGACTGCCCTGGTACAATGGATCTTGTCGATGGACGAGCGAGGGATGCCGCCGACAGTGGCTTACACTCGTCGGATGGCCAACTTATTGCTTTCCGAGCGAGGCAAAGATCCTGTCGGGAAAACTGGGTGCGGAAGTTTGTTGGCCGCCACGGCGAAATCAAGGCAAAGTACTCTCGCCGATACGACTACCAACGAGCCAAATGCGAAGACCCCCAAAAGATCCAAGGATGGTACGATCGAGTCGCGGCGACGAAACAGAAATGGGGATTCTTGACGAGGATGTCTATAACTTTGATGAGACGGGGTTTCAAATGGAGTCGCTGCAACGGCGAGAGTCCTTACCCGGTCTGACCGGCGAGGTCGGGCAGTACTCACGCAGCCTGGAAATCGAGAATGGGTTACTGTGATCGAGTCTATCAACTGCCAAGGTTGGGCTTTACCGGCGAAGGTTATCTTCCAGGGCAAGTTACACCAAGCAAGCTGGTACGAATCAGGAGTGCCCGATGACTGGCATATCGCCGTTAGTGAGAATGGCTGGACTTCCGACGACCTTGCTTTGAATTGGTTAAAGGAAGTCTTTGATCCGAATACACGGCGCCGTACGGTTGGTACGCATCGACTTCTTATTCTCGACGGGCACGGCAGTCACGTCACGCCGGAATTTGACAAGTACTGTACGGCCAATTCCATCGTAGTACTCCAAATGCCTGCACATTCCTCACATCTCTTGCAGCCTCTTGATGTCGGGTGCTTTTCGCCGTTGAAAACCATATACGGCCGAAAGGTTAAGAGAAAATGCTCGCTGGGATCCATCATATCGACAAGCAGGACTTCCTTCCCATGTACTTAGACGCTCGCCGACAAGCACTTTCGCCGTCGAATATCCGAAGCGGATTTATGGCAACAGGCCTTTTTCCGTTTGACCCAAACAGAGTATTATCGCGGTTACAAGTTCAGGTTGACAAAGTCGGTAACGATCACGGCGACAAGAATACTCCAAGTCCCAACAAGAGCCTGGAAGCAGCCAAGACTCCGCATAACGTCAACCAGCTTACCACTCACGCCGAAAGGCTTCTTCAACGCCGGCCACAAAATACAGACTCGCCAGTTTCACAAGCTATCAACCAGCTTATCAAAGGATGTCAAATGGCCATGCACAGCGCCGCCCTCCTTGCCGACGAAAACCGGCAACTTCGGTCAGAAAACCAGCGGCGAAAGCAGAGAAAGAACAGCGCCGTGAATACATTGGCGACGGCGGTACTCTATCGGTTGCAGAGGGCACGGTTAGGATAAAGCAACGGAGAGAAGAAGAAGAAGAGCGGGTTAAGCGACGGAGAGTGGAAGAAGAGGAGAGGACTAAGCGCCGGCGAGAGAAGGACGAGGCGGGCCAAGCGACGACAAGAAGGAGAAGAGCGGGCCGAGCGACGGCGACAAGAGAACGAGGAATGGTTCAAGCTACGGCGAGAAAGGAAGAGGAGCGGGTCAAGAAACAGAGAGCAAAGGAAGATGAGCGGGCCAAGCGACGGCGGGAAGAAGGAGCGGGACCAACGACTTATAGAAGAGCTGAGTGTCCCAAGACAGCGTGCACCACCACGGTGTAGTAAGTGCAGGTCTTTTGAACACACTGCCCGTACGTGTAATAGATAGTCCTAATCGAGTTACTTGTCTCTTGGAGTAAATATGTCGTGGTATTGTGCTCCGTTTGTCTCGCGTAAGGTGCGGGTCTAGTCGGTGGGGAATTTTTGACCGAGTAGGGGGTCTGACCGGGAAGGGGGTGGATTACGTTAGATTCGCGGGTACCGTGAGCCTATTGGCTCCCCCCCTGCGACATCTGCTTAGTCATTGTCACGGTGCCCGCGAAATATTAGATTCGCGGGTACCGTGAGCCTATTGGCCGAGCGGATTTCCTTTGCGGTGGAAACGTTTGGGCTGTTGCCAACTAACCACTTTGGAGCCAGGAAGAGGCGTTCCGCGGAGCAGGCTCTCGTGCTCCTGCAAGAGAAAATCTACAAAGCATGGCGAATGGGCAAGGTGCTTAGTCTTGTGAACTTCGACGTCAAGGGTGCTTATAACGGAGTGTTCAGGATAGGCTTCTACAACGGCTCGCAGCGAGGGTTTGCCCGCGAGCTGGTCAGGTGGGTAGACGCATTCTGCTCTGAGCGGACGGCCAGCATCACGGTCAATGGACACTGTACCGCACAGCAAGAGCTCCCACAAGCAGGTCTTCCCCAGGGATCGCCGCTTTCGCCGATTCTCTTTCTTTTCTTCAACGCAGACCTAGTGCAGACCAAAATCAGCACCTCCGGAGGATCAATCGCATTCGTGGACGATTACTCGGCAGGTCACAGGCTCGACTGCAGAGTCGAACCGGGACGGAATCCAGTCCATCATCGACCGTGCCCTAGAGTGGGAAAAGCGGAGCGGGGCGACGTTCGAGGGCGACAAGACGACCATCATTCACTTTACACGAATGGCCGAGCGCTCTAGCTCAAGTCCATTTGTTATCAAAGGAAGAACGATCTGGCCACAGGAAAACGCCAAGGTGCTGGGGTGGTCATGGATGCAAAACTACGATATAAGGAGCATATGGCACGAGCGGCATCGAAGGGACTGGAAACCGCGATGCAGCTGAAAAGACTGCGTGGATTGTCGCCCCGGGTGGCCAGGCAGTTGTTCACGGCTGCGGTTGCGCCTGCTATGGATTATGCCTCCACTGTCTGGGCTCATGCATGCGGAGTGAGGAGGGCTACTGGTTGAATCGAGCACAGATGGTAGGGGCGCAGGCGGTGACCGAGCGTTCCGTACCGTGTCGACGGCAGTCGCGGAAGCAGAGGCAAGCATTCGGCCGGTGGTAAATCGGCACACTCAAGCAGCGGCGAGGTTTTGGATCAGCGTTCGTACTCTCCGAGGGCGCATCCTCTCGCCCGGCTGGGCATCAGAGTGTGCCGAAGATTCACGTCCCCACTGCAAACGATGGCTCAAGAGCATGGAGAGTCAGCAGGTCAAAGATTGGAAGTCATCAGAGAATACGCGGTGGCCCCGTGGGAAGACCGCATTCGTGTTCTCTGTGACCTCGATGATGACCAGGCAGCTGAGTTGGTTGCGAAAGCGCAAGGCATTGTCGTCGCGACGAGCTCATCCGAAAGGCGAGGCGTAGTCGGCATGGGAGGCTGTGTTCGAGATACGAGAGTCAACAACGAGCAAGAAGCACTGGCGAGCTATTCCATCACTCTGGGGCCGCGAGAAGATCAAAACCCATATGTCGCGGAGCTGGAGGCGATTGCCACGGCTCTGCGATGTATGCCAGCGCGACTCGAGCAAAGAGAGCTAGTCTTTGTCACAAGCAACAGATCGGCCATGCAGGCGATTGGCCAACCGCGCCAGCAGTCGGGCCAATACATCATCAAGAAATTTACAAGCATGTCAGGCTCTTCCGGCAACGGGGTGTTTCGATTCGTATGATATGGGCCCCGGCAGAGCTGAAGGGTTTGCGTTGGGGCAAAAGCAAAGGCAGCAGCGCGGAAAGCGACACGCGAGGGCGCATCCAGGAGAACTCGCCATTTCAAGCCCGCTCGACAAGAACAAGACTAGTGCTCTCTGGACTGCAACAGCAAAGACTGGAAATTCCTGCGAGTGGGAAGATACTCGAAAAGAATTGACACGGCGTTACCAGGCAGACATACGCGAACGATCTACGACTCACTTAGTGGGAAAGAAGCGAGTACTTGCGCAACTTCGCACAGGCAAATCGAGACTCAATAGTTACCTTCATGGAATACAGGCGGCAGAAAGCGACCTATGTGGCTGTGGTCAAGCAATCGAGACAGTGGAGCACTTCCTCTTTCGATGTAAGGCATGGATCTCTGAAAGAAAGCATGATGAAATGCAATCGAACCAAGATGGAAATCTGTCTTTCTTCCTAGGAGGAAGTCGATGTCCGATGGCGACAAATGGAAGCCGAACCTACCAGCAGTACGCGCTACGATCAAATTCGCGATGGCAACCGGGAGACTAGACACGGACCAACGATGACAGTACTGGCAAACCAGAGTGCACAGTACTAGCACCATACAGCCTCTCATTGACAGACCGGGCTTCAGCTGCTGAGAATAGGATGCTGAACACTTGGAGAAATGGGCCTTCAAGCAGGCCTGTCAACGGCGAAATTGGAGGCTGAAATGTACGGATAGGAGCAAAATGTGGGGCTTCTGGGTGTTGCAGTCGAAAGTGGAGGATCTGTAAATAGCTGAGTGTCGCGGCCCTCTAGGGTTGGTCCCTCCGGGCGGAATAAATTGCATTGCATTGCATTGGCTCCCTACCCCACTGCGTCATGCAACGCACTAGGTCATGCAACAATTTTCAACACCTGACGCGTCTTCTTCAAATTGACGCGATATGGACCACAACACTCGTATTGCAGAGGCAATTATAGAACTGCAATCCCAAGATCGCCCTAAATATGCAGAGACCGCGAGGAAATACAATATCGACAAATCCACGCTGTGGCGCCGCTTCAAAGGCAAAACAGCCTCAAATCACGACGCGAACTCTTACTCGCGACAGAAACTCACCAGCGCGCAGGAGGAGATTCTTATTGGGCACGTCAATAAGCTGACCAACCGTGGTATCCCGCCTACCCCTCAGATGTTGAAGAATATCGCCGAGGAAATCGCAGGGACAAAGCTTGGTGTCAACTGGGTGAGCCGCTTCCGCAAGCGACACCATGACCGTCTTTCGAGCTTGTATTTGCGCACCATAGATCATCAGCGGAAGGCTGCTGATAATTCAGGCATTTCAAAACTTCTTCAATTTAGTAAGACTGCTTTTATCGTCATTTCAAGGGTATACTGCCGACAATACTCGGTCAAATGCCGTAAAGTCGCCATTTCTGACCGAATCCAACTAGCTCCGCGAAAAGATCGAAAAGTACAACATCAGTCCCTCAAATGTTTATAATTTTGACGAGAAGGGATTCCAAATTGGTCTCTCTCGCTCCGCCAAGCGAGTTGTCCCCCGAGAAGCCCTCAGGCGCGGAAAACTGGTCGGGGCAAGCCAAGACGGGAACCGGGAGTTCATCACGCTGATCGCTGCCATATGTGCAGATTATTCGTACCTGCCACCGGCCCTCATTTACAAAGGGGAGTCAAAAGACTTCCAAGATACTTGGCTTGAGGATTTTGACCATTCCAGCGAAGTAGCCTTCTTCGCCAGTACGGAAAACGGCTGGAGTTGTGACGCACTGGGTTTACACTGGCTTCAGCGCATATTTGACTGCCATACGAAGCAAAAGGCTGGTCGTGCCTACCGTCTCTTAATTTTAGACGGTCACAATAGTCACATTAACCTGAAATTCATTGACTATGCCGATCGGAATCGAATTCTCATTGCTGTGTTGCCATCGCACTCAACTCATCGGCTTCAACCACTCGATGTTGACCTGTTTTCCGCACTCTCCACCTATTATGCTCAAGGTTCCGAGCAGCTGGTGTCCATTGGATGGGGGTTAATTCGCCTTACCAAACGGAACTTTTGGCCACTCTTTCGTGATGCGTGGAACCAGGCATTTACGGCCAAAAATATCGAGGCTGGTTGGCGGGCCACAGGAATCCATCCACTCGACCCCGGCAAAGTATTGTCCAAGATTAGCCACAGCAGTGATGTGACACCCCCACAAACTGCATCTGAGGAAAGGGCGATGAAGACTCCAGGCTCTCTTCGGGCTATTCGGCGCATTACCCGCCGTCTCCGCAAGGAAGGGCTGATGGACTCCCGAGTCACAGCGCTCTCCCGAGCATCAGAGAAACTGGCGACACAATATGAGCTCGTACAACACGAAAATCGAGATCTACAGGAAGCGCTCAAACTTGCACATAAAGGAAACGCAGAAAGGCCTTGGGCCTTTTCAATCCAGAAGAAAGTGGTGGCCAGCCGGTCTTTTTCAGTCCAGCCAAGGTGGAACTGGCGCGGCGACGTCAGACGGACAAGGCACAGGCCGACGAGCAGCGCAAGCAAGCCATTGAAGATCGTCCACTCCAGGTAGCCATATCACGTGAAGAAAAGGCTCGAGAATCTGCCGAGAAGAAAAAATAGCGGGCTGCAATGCGTCAGGCCTTGCGAGAGCAGCGTTCTCGAGAGAAGACAGAGCGTGCTGCGGAGCGCGAGGCAAAGCGAGCTGAGAAACGGGAGGCCGCAGCAAAATTAAAAGCAGAGAGGTCTGCACGCGAGGCTGAGCGCCAGGCTATTCGGGAAGTCAAGTTTGAGGTAGCTGCTACGTCAAAGCCTGGTGTAAGAGGGCACAAAGACATGGTAGCGGTGAGAAAAACGAGGGCGTTGGAAGCGGGTTTGCGCGACGGGCATTCAACCACGCAACAACTCGGAGGAAGAAAGGGTAAAGATTGGTTCTGAAGCTTCAGTGGCTCGAGACCACAGTCCCGGAGCTTTAGGGGTAAAGACATACCTCCCGTTCGACGGAAGCGCAGGGAAGTATGGAGGCCGGTTTCTCAGTCTCTCAGGTCTGGGCGGACCACAAGACCGCCTGCTCATATTTCCTAAGAAAACCATCATATAGATAGACTCTGTATGAAGTGTTTCACATAATTGTGATGTTTAATAGTATTTTAAATGGTTGTGTCGGTTGCAGGATTAATTTTCGCTCTGGCTTGCCGGTCGGGCAATTTGTTGCATGACGTGGTGCGTTGCATGACTCAGTGAGGTACGTTACTCTCGAGTAGACCTACATAGAGCCAGAATCTGCTGCGACACGAAGACTTCTTAAGAGTCTTTGGTATCCCTCGGCCCCGAACAAGAGGATGGTGCGAGCTTAGAAACAGCAATGAACTTGAATACGAACCGTCGTGGCCGATCTACTCACCTTTTCTCAAATCACGATGCCCCCCAACCGCCTTCTATGACGGAAGGCGACACGGATAAGGCCAAGGCCTCAAAAGCCTTTTCATACTGGAATAGACGCCCGCTGCGGAGGGGGGACGGACCAAGCTCCACCGACGACGAAGCTCAGACTGGGAGAGATATCCCTGCCGCCAAAACGGGGAAGCCATGGAATAGTTACAAAGAGGTTTACAAGATCCTTGATTTTGAGGGGGATATCTCACTTGCCATTAGCACAAAGTCACCTCGCCGAGTTGTCAACATTAGATCATTCCCATCGGTCGATACGGGGCAGCTGCCTCTTGCCTACTATCATCTCAAGCACAAAAATATCGTGTCCATCTTAGAAATCTTCAACGATTCCCCTAATGGCTTCTACTTCGTGTCTGAGGAAATGACTATTTCGCTACGTCAACTCGTCAACTGCCCAGCGTACCCGAGTGAGCTGCAAGCCGTTGCATTGCTCCGCCAGGTACGCCACGTTTCGGAGGAGCCGTCGCGTAGCTTACCTCATCGTCAGTGTTGAAGTGGGTCATCAGAAACCCTGAACCCCTGAAAGGCTCTCTGAGGAGCCTCTGACACTAGCTTGGAAGTGATATATTAAGGTGGCATTTCTCTGTATTTACTCACAGATTTCTTCAACCTTCAATGAACACTTCATCCGCTACACAGCCTTCAACAGTCAGACACTAAATGGCTTGGCATATTTAGAGCGTCAAGGACTTGGCCATGGGCAGCTGAGCTACCAAAACGTTCTTCTTAAGCAGAATGGCGTCGTCAAGCTAGGTGCGCAGTGCCGATTCGTACCATGGACCCCAATCATTTCTCTGACGCCATCGCCCTGTGGCTAACGAGATGAATCAGCGAGCCCTGAGAAATTAGAGAAACTGAATAGAGATGTCACCGCAAGGGACATGGCAGATCTTAGAACAGTTACACTTTGGTTTCTGCAAAAAGATACGGGGCCGGGACTTAAGGATCAGCGCTGGCTTAGTCGCGGGAAAGTGGCAGACTTCGTAGCTGCAACAACGTCGGTTAGCACCGCCTCGGAGCTTCGCCAGGTGCGTGTCTTAACTCATCCGGTAGAGCAAAACTTCAGGCTAAGTGATCAAGCATTCATTTCTTAATGGGCCAGAAAATGACATCGCTTGCCAGGAGTCGCTTTTGGATCTGGTCAAGCTGGCAGAGGTCACGAATCAGAGACGATTCGAATTCAAGCTTATTTAAAATTGTCTCCTTCTTTCTGTCGAGCTTTACCTGCCCTGTCCTCATTGAAAATGGATTTACCAGAAATCTACGCCGCTTGCATGTTATTGATCTTTGCATTGCTCCTCGTCGTTTCTAACTGGCCGGCAGGAAAGCGTGTCAGACGCCTCTCCGCGACTGTCACGAACAAGATTGCTTACAGTGTGATGGTGAAACGACATCGCATGCTGGGTCCATGGCTCTTTTCTTCAAGCTTGCTCAATGGTACATATGTCGCTGTCAATGTTTCATGCGTTTTTTGCAAGATTTCATTTGAAGCTTCCACGAAGGGGGTTCAAGTGTTATCACTTGCTTCACCAAGTGAAGCT